TACTTACTACTTACTACTTACTACTTACTACTTACTACTTACTACTAACTACTAACTACTAACTACTAACTACTAACTACTAACTACTAACTACTAACTACTAACTACTAACTACTAACTACTACTACTACTACTAACTACTTACTACTTACTACTTACTACTTACTACTTACTACTTACTACTTACTACTGCTACTACTACTACTGCTACTACTACTACTACTACTACTACTACTACTACTACTACTCTAGTACTACTACTACTACCACCATGTTTTGAGCCGATGCTCAACCCCAACCGTCCTCAGTGGGCTAGAATATATATATATATATTTGATTACTTTTTTTGATCCCGTTGAGTATTTGTTTTTTGATTCTATATTTTTTGATCCCTTACCCTACGGTGCCTTCCCGGCTGTTGGTTGATGTGCATGTCCACACAGAGAAGAACACACATGCCTTCTCATTCGTTTCATAGAGTCCTGAGGCCAAACCATTCATGAGCCAAAGTGGGATGGCACAGAGGCAAAGTTTGTACAGGAAACAACCACACCAAGATGCGATGGCCAGAAATTGCATTGACCTTGGAAGGACTCAGGAAGTAACAGTGTGTTTTACATTGCTTTACCTTATGGCGCTGCAGGTGTGAGCTGTTTCTGTTTTTGCGGACTTTTGTGCTCACAAAAGGCTGCTTTGAGGAGAGTTTTTCAAATTTGGGGGTTGTGCGCCTCCCGCCACTAAAAGATACAGAACCTTTAGCACAGAGCCAGAGGTCGGGTTTGTACATGCATGTGTTCCCCATCCTTGAGTTGCCAAAGGCAAGAGAACAAGGGTGGGAATTGGGTTGACCCAGGCCATGGGTCGAATGACACAGCCGCTCGCAAAGCTGTGGAAAGTTGGTGTTCTTGTTGGGGCCAAGATGCCTCAGGCTTGGATTCATTGTGTGACCTTCAACAGAGATGGGCATTGTGGTTGGCTAAAGTCTTGGCCTTTCAATGGGGTTTTCCCGGTTTTCCCCGAGAAAAGCAATCCGCCAGAATACCACTGTCAATCATGTTTCTACAGATCGTACTCTCTTGTTTTGGGGTGCTTTTCGATTGAACGCTCAAGAGCACTGGACGGTACGGAAGAGTGACGTGAGGGATTTATAGAATTGGCTATATAATGCCCTGGTGCCGCTGACCGAACACTCTGCGACGTGCGCAATTGCAAGCTACGAACTTTGCAGCTATCCTTTTGATGTCCTGAGAGGCCTGAGAAGGCACGTCAGACAAAAGAAGCAATGCAATAGACATAGGGGGCGAATGGAAAACTCCTGGGTGGGGATCGCCTCAAGGGCAAGTTTTCAGATACGAAACGCGTAAAATGCCGAAATCTGTCAGTTCGTGTAGCCTTTCCCTTTAGTTGCGGCGCTCAAGTGCGAACTTTCGTGCGCATGTCAACAGCTGCCTAAACATCCGCCATCAGGGCACAGATCCGCTAGAGGGAAGAAGGAGGCTGAGCAGAGCCGCTATCCTGAGCTGCATTTTTTCAGCGACTGGCCAAGACATGTCTCCATTGGACTCACTCGCTGAGTTCCAGCCAATGCTTAAGGGCCCCCCGAATCCCCAAGTGCCGTTCCATATTTTCTGGAAGACTGGGGTTGGGGATGGTCCCTGTCACAAAGCTGCTTGTGTGGGATCTTCATTTTGCAGCCAAGATGGGGCTGGGTTGTTGGAATGCTTGCAGTGCTTTTCCACAAACAGAAGTCTCCAAACGCTTAGTCAACCCGGGTGGAAGAAGATCACCAGGCGATCAAAAACATCCAGCCTCACAAGGACCCATCCTGATCACATCAGCCAACAACAGGGCGATAGATAGAAATTCTGAACGTGAAGCCTGTGGAAGTGAGAATCAATCCAGGCGTTGCGCAACTGCCCGAGCATGCACAGTTCAATCCGAGGTTGCTTGTGTAAGCCTGCCAAGTTGACATAGGGGCCAAAGCCATGGATATACCTGATGGGTTTCCTAGATTTAGCTTTTCTTAAAAATCTCATGCCCCTCCAGAGGAGGAGTCGACTGGTAATTGTCCTCGCACCTTACCCGCTCCAGTCGCTAACATCCCACCACCCTTTCCAGCCACTGCTCCAGCCCCAAGAAAACTCCCTGCCAGCCTTAGCCCATGTAGTTCTGCGCGCAAGAAGCGACCAAAAAGCGACCAAAAAGGTGCCAGATGGCACGGTCAAAGCCCACGGACACAGGTGCAGAGTGGTGGGGGCCATGCGACTAGGTTTGCGCCCCGAATGCGGCCGAATGAATGCCAGACGGCAGTTTCCAAGCCCGCTGAAAGAGGCGGGAAGCAGGAGAGATAAAAGAGAACATGGTAGAGCCCCAGTTTTGACACCCGATAAAAGAGCAGGGTGGGAGCCACGGCTACTAGGGGTTCCTGGCCTTACTACCTAGGAACAAGGACGCGACTACGGGCCGAAGAGCAGGGCCGGTGGGAACCACGGCAGCTCCCAAGTTTCTATCTTCTGTATCCAAGGCGCCGCCTCGCCGAGGCTAAGACTTGACACTTTGTTTTTTTTTGGGCGTACTGTGTTGTCATTGTCCTGTTATTTGGATGGCCGTGGATGGGCCACATCTGCAAAAGAAGTCAGCGGCAACTTCCGAGGCTGCGACAGCTAAGCCGAACCAACTTGGGACCATGGCGGGCACTGGGCACCCGGGCCTTGAGCTGAGCGTGTCAACTTCTTTCGCCGACGCCAATGGTGTTGGAAGGTGTAGGTACAGAAGGCACAGTGTACTCTTCCCAAGGGTCAGCATGGACACCAAACAAAGTGTTGAGACACATTTCGACAGCGATGGCAATGCAAAAGGTGGTGACGTGTCCAGTACTTTAAAAAGACATCCTGGAATATTTGGCAGGAGTATCGCCTGCCAGGCATTCCATGGTGTCGAGCTGGAACGGGAGGGAACCTTTGACCAGCCAGTGCTGTTCTTAGTTCGAGACAAGCCGAGACTTCTTGAGATTGCGAAAGTTGAACGCACAAACAGCACCCGGTAAAGTAGAACAATGTAGAACATGCGCACCAAAGGTACATTTTTTACTTTTTACAGTGCTTTAGTTCTTGGTTTGACTTGACAAGGACCCCAACCAAGAGAACGGACAACGCAGCAGGCCTGTGACGAAGTTGATTCGCTCCTGGATTTCTTCCCCAAAATGAATGCGCTCAGTTTGGTTTGTTCTCCCAGTCTCAGTGAGTGGAAGGCTTAAGATGAGCCGCGTGGACTGGAAGGTCCGTTACCACCACTTCAAGCACAGCGTTCGATTCTGAGATGCGAACAGGTCTTTTTCCCTGACAGGGAAGACATCCAACAAACATGATGAATTCGGTCAATACATTTAAGTATATATTTTTTGAGATTGTGTTCACTTTCCATTCAGAACAAGAGCTTACTGTGCTTGACCGAGAAGGATTTCAGAGGGTCATCAGGGTTTGACTGCTGCCACAGACCCATCCTTGACGATCTTGACGGTTCTAAGATGAGAGACACGACGCACGGTCAAAGATGCGACGACTTTCAGCTGTGCTCTGAGGTGCCCACCTTTTGTTCGCCCTTTAGTGGCCGGGAGATCACATCGGTGGCACATCCTGATGAGGCTCCAGCAGCACTTCCAACAAGGGATCCCCAAAAGCACTTTGAATGGTTTTGAAGAAGGTAGAACGGTGGTTCTTGAGCTGGCTCATCCGGGTTCTGTGTTTTATGATAATATGAATATTTCTTGAGACTGATTGGTTTGGCCAAGTTTCTGATTGCATGTTGAAGGGCCAAGCGATCGTTCCAGGTTGCTTACCTCCGATGCCGGCTTTGTACAGATGTCGTCGCTGAGGGATGCAGCCAGGGAGTCTATCTCGAGGCCCCGCGTCAGGGAGTCAAGGACGAGGTTCAATGAAACACTTGAAGTTCTTCCTTGAGAAGCCTTCTCTGTAGTCTATCTCTGAGCTCAGGACTTGAAATTTGTGTGTTTTTTTTGGTATTTTTGCTTAGATATTTGGCGAACAACTAAGTCATCAATCCATGCAGCTGCAGACACTGTGACAGGTGGAGGTCGCGAGCAACTCAGACAACCTCAGCATGGCTGTGGTTGACTTTGAGGCTGGTGTGCTTTTGTTCCCTTGCTCTGCCCTGTCTTTGCGTCTTTACTGCTGGTAGTTTCCTTGCTACCTCTTCACAACCTACTCCGCACCCCAAAAATGATATGAAAAAAGGACGAGAGAAAGGGATTTGTTTTCGAAGATACTATATATTTCTTTTGGAACGACGACTGAGTCGCTCGCAGGCAGGCGGTTGCAGTAGTGTCACCTTCAGCCCGAAGCTTTGAGAGTTGTCCAAACCGAGATTCTACCGAAAGCAAAGGCCACGAACGCAAAATTTAAGGGAGATTATTTGGACCATGATAGCCATGAATGCCGCTGGGTTCAATCCTGTACTTGGTTTAGTATTTCAGGGTGGCTCTGAATTCTGAATGCAACCCGAATGGCCTCTATTACTTGCTCCGAGGTCCAGACACAGGCGCCGTCATCCGGGAACGCAAGGTAAGGGAAGCTCCGCGGAAGGCGCCAGAACCCATTGTTTGTGGATTATATAATCGCTCCAAGAGAATGCCTTTGCAGGTGGAAGGCGCATATATTCAGCCCTTGCCCACGGTGAGGGACTCAAAGTGTAGGGAGGATGGTAAGGTGTGAAGTATTTTTTGTGGGAAGATCCTAAAATGACATTTTCATTTTTGATAGTTGGCGGTTGGCAGTGTTTGAACGTCGAAAACAAGTAAGTCCAAACATCTCGCCATAGGTTCATGAGGGTAGGTGAGTGGCACTTGTTACTAGTAGCTTCTTTGTTACTACTAGTAAGGCACCTGTCACTAGAAGCGTGGCACTTGTTACTACTAGTAACATGACGGTAGGTGAGTGGCATACATAGATATTTGCGTAACAAAAGCCGCACGTAAGGACGCACGCATGCTCACGCGCACCTTGATGCATGAGGTCACGACGGGCCGTCCATTCCATGGGCTCATGGGCGAGATTCCAAGCACCAAATGTCAAACGTTTTCTAACTATATATATCTAAGAGTCATAGCCTAATAATAGCAATGGCCTCCAACCTAGAAGCGATGGCCTCCAGCCTAATAGCGATGGCCTCCCGAAAAGAACCTTTGGGTCAATCTCATTTATGAGCTTTGAGGTCTCTACCTCTACCAAGACCGCCTGGCTTTTTTCAGGAGGCATTTGTGCTTGCAGCGCATTTGATTACAATTTTCAATGTGATATGACTTGGTTGGAAGTATGCGGGTGCAACGTGGCTGCAATGATACACTTTTGCGCGTGTAGTCACAATGGATGTTGCATTCAATTATGTGTGTTGCACAGGTGTGAGCTGCAACCTGCAGGCTGGTCTAGTGTGTCGACATGTCTCCACTGAAGCTTCTAACTCCTGAATGTTGCAGCAGGCCTTGACAATGAGGTCTCCGACTGAGAGGGTGTCTCTCATATAATAACATGCAAACAATGTAGGCTAGAAGGTTCCTCAGTTTCTCACCCCAGGCCAACGCTATGCAGCGGCATTCTCAGCCTTTGACAGTGTCTTTCCACTAATGTATGAGTTGTACCACTGAATTCCAAGGATGCCAGGAAGCCAAGGACGCCTTTAACTGACTGATGGAGTTCTGTAGCGATGCGTAAAAGGGGCTTGCCCAGGTTGCTTTGGATGACCGTTCGAGCTTCAGTCTGGAGACTTACAGTAGGGCCCGCAACAGAACAATCCCAGCATGCGGAGATGTCGGGATGTCACGACAGGACGCCAGCTGGGCCCCTGGGAGACGACGGGCTTTGTGTCGGATCTTGATTGGGCTGAGGCATTGGGCCATGTGGGAGGAAAGAAAGGACTTCTGTAGTAACAAGTGCCACGCTAGTAGTAACAAGTGCCACGCTAGTAGT